GCGAGGGAGGGAGGGAGGGAGAGGGGGAGAGAGAGAGAGAGAGCAAGAGAGACAGAGAGAGAGAGAGAGAGAGAGAGAGAGAGAGAGAGAGAGAGAGAGTGTGTGTGTGTGTGTGTGTGTGTGTGTGTGTGTGTGTGTTGGGGGAAGGAGAGGGGACCCAGAGCTATTTCATTCTTTCCTCCCAGGTTCTGAGCACACTAGATGTTAAAACTCACACAGGGGGATTCTGAGTCACACAGACTCTGCTCACTGGCCAAGTTGCTTGGCCAGGCTGCTTAACTGCTCCTGTGCCTCAGTTTCCTTGTCTGTCGGATGGGAATTCCACCATCTTACTCACAGGAATAAGGATTACATGAGAAAATGGATATACAGTGCTTGCTTAGCACAATCCCTAGAATGGAACACACGCCCAGTAAATGGGAGTTGCTGAGCAGACGGAAGCTGCCTCCCAGAGAGATGGTTAGCCTTGGAGGCGAAAGAGAAAGCTCTCTATCAGCAAGATGGTTGGCCCTGGAGGGGAAGAGAAAGTGCCTCCCCATCCCACCCCACTCCTAAGGGCAAAGGATGCTGCAAGCCTGGACTAGTAGTTAGAGGCACCATTCTGGGGAAAACAAAGCTGCCCTGGAAAAGACCCCTCACCCAGGTCTCTAGGGATGAGGCAGGTAAATGTGGGCATCATCTCGTCCCAGAGCTCAGAGGCTCCCCTGCCATGCCTGCCCCAGTGCTGGGCCCCTCACCACCGCGCCCTCCCTTGCCACTCTGGACTCCTCCACCAGCAGCCCCAGGCAGACCTAGAAGAGGTGAGGCCCTCTGGCCATCAGGAAGACTCCACCTTGACACGTCTTATATTCTTGAGGCCTGGCCTAGGAGAGGCCCACTGTATGAACAAGATCTTTTCGAGACTTGGCTCACCCACCTTCCTTCTGCAGGCCAGTTTAACTCAGCTTTCATCGCCCCACACAGGGGCTGGCACAGTTTCCTTAGGAGCTGACAAGCAGAAAGAAAGAACAGAAAACACCACCCTGAGAGCCCCAGCAGAGGCAGCAAGGGGCTGCCATGGCACAAAGGCGTTCCCAACAGCCCAGGGCCAGCTATCTATCCCTGCCATTTAATACTAGACCCGAACTCTCAGAGAGACAGCACCAGCTTGGTAAGTCCCTTCCCTACGGGTCCTGGAGAAGCCCAGCCTTACTGCCTGTCTATCCTACTGGGATCAGAACTTTGGGCAAGGGAGGTTTCAGCCCCCTGCTGGCTACTTGTTGCAGGGGCTTTGGTGACCTCGAGTGTCAGAGGAGAAGCTGCCCAGCCTCCTTACGGCTGCCTGAGCTCAGGGATATAAGCAGTGAGCGGGGCTTGGCCCTTCCTAAGGAAGGAGCTATGTAAACAGCAGGACTGGCTTCTCGGGGATGGTCTCATCTCAGCCCCTTTGCTGACACTCTTCCAGATTAGGAAGGAGAGCAGAACAGAAGGCGGGTCTGCCCCCTCCCCCAGCCCCGAGCACATGAGCAGTTGGAGCAGAGGTAATCTAATCCGCAGCGGGGTACTTTTACTCAGTGAGTAACTCCCCAGGAATGGGGAGCTGGGTATATTTATCCTGATAACTGTCCTGGGAGGAAAGGCAGATCTGTGACCAGTAAGGGCCCATCCACAATTAGGCCAGATCTGTTCTGCCCCCACCCAGCCCGGGGACCCAGGGCCTGGACACTGACTAGGAACTCAATCTCCTGGAGGGGCCTTCCCTGCCAATTTGGGTTCTTGTCAACTGACTGTCTCCTCTCCAAGAATTAAGCTCTAGAGAGCAGGGGCCTTGTCTGTCTTGCTCCATGCCGCATCCCCATAATGAATGGTTGACTGACAGAGGCGCTGTGAGGAGGAGGAAAACGGGGAAGGAGCAGCAAGCAGAGAAAACAGCCGGTGCCAAGCAGGAGCCAGGACACTATGATTCCAGGCCCAGCCTGCTGGGTGCCTGTCAATGGGCGGTACCACCTCTCTGGGTCGTCTTCTCTATCCGTAAAATGGGCAGAACCCAATTTGTCCCCATTTCTGGCAGCAAGCTCTGAGGAGGAGATAATACAACTTCGGGTGAGATTTACTATATAGCACCTTGAAGCACTTCAGAGTTTGTCTAAATCCAAGACATGGCTATTATCTGAATCCCAGACAGGAACTGCTCTCCCTTAGGGGATGGATGAGAAACAATCAATACCGTAGTGTCACTTAAATATTTAATAGCCGTGCCTGGAGGTTATGAAGACTCAGCCACCATTCTCCCTCGCTGACTCATGCCTCACTCAACAGGAACAGCCATTTTCCTGTCAGGGCCCTGAAGGAAGTTTGGGCTGGGTATGACACACAGGAAACCAGGGGAGAAGGCTGCAGTCTTCCAATCTGCTGCTGGGAGAGGCGGGAAGTGGCCCTTTGGATAAGGTGTTTCTTCCCTGAGCTTCCCACATGCCATAGGTGGGTGGCTTCCTGTCTGCTGAGGAGCCCAGCCTGGCAGGGGCTGACACAACCTGAGTGTGCTGGCAGGCTCACTTTCTTTATTGGGTGCGTGGCTTGCGCCCAAGGTCAGAGAGCACAGGTAACTAGAGACTCGAGAGAATAAAGGCGGAAAGGCAACTCCAGAGGTCACTCTGAGCTCCAGGCAGAAGCCCCACGTGCCAGGCCCCATCTGCACCAGGCACCCGTGCAGGGACCCCACTGCCATTGATCAGCCTCCTGGCTGCCATCAAGGCTTCCCCACCTGATGGGGCTCCAGGAGGTTGAGCAGCAGGTTGGGAGGAGCTGCCCAGGTTTACTCTGCACACCTCCACCCCCTGCGGGCACAGAAGCAGGTCCAGGCTGGCAGGATATCGCAGTGTCTCTTCTATTGTAAATAACTCCTCTCTCTGTCCAGGATCAGCAGCCCCGCCCTCCCCCACAGGTCCCATTTCATTGGTCAGATTTCATTCACCTCTTCAGGTCACCCAGAGACTCTGGACTTTTTAAGGTCAAGTCTAGGGCCCAACTCCAGGCCCATCCCTCAGTTGCTTCAATGGGTAAAATATGATTTACATACAAAAAGACAGACAGCCTGGAACCTGGGAGGCTCCCGTGCCGGAAATTTTCTCAGCTATTCCAAATCCACTCCAATCCATTCCTGCAATCCGGCTCTTCGAGGCAGAGCAGGGCGGCTCCTCGGGCCTCTCACCCCTGTTAATCACCAACAGAGGTTAGGAGGGGCGCAGAAGTGAGTCACCCGCCCTACAGAGACTCGAACAGAAAGTTCACAAGTTTGCCTGTTCCAGGAATGAGCTGTAGTCTTTTCACGATGTGTAGATTTCACAGCACTAGCTACCTTCTCTTTGCCGGTCGAATTCTGACAATGAACACAGCCCACGGTGGCCACAGAACAGGTTGGTGCTTCCGGGTCTCAGGCAGCTGGGTTGTTTCCCTACCCCAGCTCTCTCCTGCCTGCCTTTCACGGTTCTCCTATTAGTCCCTGTAATAGCTCCAGCCCTCTTCTAGTTCCCCACGTTTCACTGATCACCAAGTCGCATCAATTCTTCCTTCACGGGCCTCTCTCCATTACTTGCCTCTCTTTCTTTTCATCACAGGCAGCCGACAACTTCCACTGGCATCCGAATCCTTGCTCAGCCCCTTCCGGAACTCGCCTACAGCTCCTCCTCCAGGTTCTCCCTCTCTAACCCTTCCAGCAAACACCAGCAGCTTGAACTTCTGGGAAGCTCACCTTTCTTGTGTGTGTCCACCCGTCAGTCTCGCCTCTCCCATTAGACTGCACCCTCTGTGGACAGGGACCTGCTTTCCCCTCGCTAGATCCCCACAGCTCGAACACCCTCTCAGGCCTCTCATACAGTGAATGAATGTGTGCCGAGCAAGGAGGAGTCACAAAACTTAGCCACTGATGACCACTCTGCCTACAGGATAAGATCAGAACCCCTGGGGTTGGCATTCTGGTCTTGAGCTCCTCAGAATACGGCTGCAAACTAGCCTTTACCTCCTCCTTGGGCCCCCTCACTGCAACCTGCCTCTCCAGCCAAACCCAGCCCCTCTTTTTTCCCAGCTGTGTGCCTTTATCCACAACACTGAATGTGCCTCCCTACCACCACCAGCACCATCTTTTACCAGGATATCCATACTCCCAGGGGACAGCTGGAGGCCAGGGGCACAGGACCCACCTCAGGATAAACCCAGAACATCTTCTGACAATCAAATTTACTCAGGAGCAAGTTTTAAACCATTGCCTTAAATTAACCAGCAAGGCTATGTTATGGAGTCAAATGCAAAATGCAAATTAAATGTGAGATAAGAAGTGAGGCTTCTGGGGCCGGCACCGTGGCTTAGCGGTTAAGTGCTCGCGCTCCGCTACTGGTGGCCCGGGTTCAGATCCCGGGCACGCACCGACGAACCACTTGTCCGGCCATGCTGAGGCCGCGTCCCACATACAGCAACTAGAAGGATGTGCAACTACGACATACAACTATCTACTGGGGCTTTGGGGAAAAAAAGGAGGAGGATTGGCAATAGATGTTAGCTCAGAGCCAGTCTTCCTCAGCAAAAAGAGGAGGACTGGCATGGATGTTAGCTCAGGGCTGATTTTCCTCACAAAAAAAAAAAAAGAAGAAGAAGTGAGGCTTCTGGGGCCAGGCGGGTGGCACAAGCAGTTAAGTGCACATGCTGTGCTGCAGCGGCCCAGGGTTCACAGGTTCGGATCCTGGGCGCGCTCTGACGCACCGCTTGTCAAGCCATGCTGTAGCAGCATCCCATATAAAGTAGAGGAAGATGAGCATGGATGTTAGCTCAGGGCCAATCTTCCTCAGCAAAAAAAAAAAAAAAGTGAGGCTTCAAAGAGACTTTTTGCACTTGTACTTGGGGATTTTGGTGAACAATTTTAAGCAGCACCACAAAGCCACCACTGTCCACACATAAAGCCACTCCTGTCCATACCATAGATTTGGCTGCTCTGGTGGTGTTGGGAGCTGGGTCAGTAACATTAGCTGTCTACCCTTCTGGCATCTCAGGCCACCTGACAGTGTGGCAGAGTGGCCTCCAAGTAGTGAGGCGGATGGGTTCAAGTCCACCACTCACTAGCCTGAGTGGCAATTTACTAGAGCATTCTGGGCTTTAGTTACTCAGACACCTCATAGAGCACATGGTGAGTAATCAATGAAAAAGTATGCGAAAGCCACCATGAGGGCTGGGGAGAGCCTCCTCTGCCCTCCCACTGTGACACAGAGGAAACACTTGGTAAATAAATCTGCGTCACTGATTTTCATCTCCCTTAAGGATGGGAGGGGGAGGAGGTGGAGCCAGGGACTGCGGCCAGGAATCTTGGGAGCTGTGACAGGTCTGTCACTAACTTGGGCCTCCTTGCTGAGCAAACCACTGACCTCACCCCTCCGTGCCTCGGGTTCATTCCAAGCCCTCCTCAGAGAACATGAGCTGAGCCCAGAAGCCTTCCACTCATTCCCTAGCAAGGACAGAGGCAAGAGAGAGAACCTGCAGGGTTCCAGTGCCCCCACCCCCACCAGCTCTACTGCCTGCCGGGAAGTCACAGCTGTCTGAGAGCCTTGTGGCTTTGAACCTGGAATCACGACAATAGAAGGAGCTGCCCAAGTTCCATGGAAGTCCCTAGCCTCTGACCTCCCAGAGGAGCAAGCCCAGGAGAGAGCAGCCTCTGCTCCTGCCACTGAGGCTCCGAGCCCAGCAGAGTGCCACAAACGGACCCAAAGACAGGCCTGCATGGCCAGAAAAAAGCTCAGACAGGGGGAGAGGGGAAGAGTGAAATAATCCTTACTGGGCATCTACTCGGATCCTGGCCTTGCAGCCCCATTTTACAGATAAGGACAAAGAGGCTCAGAGACGTCCAACGAGTACGCTCTGCAGGCAGGCGGAGTCCCCCACGAGGACAGCTCTGCCTGACTGCACAGCTAGTCCGTGTTCTTGCCGTGACACCCCACTGGGAGAGGAACAAGCACTTTCGGCAGCCATCCTTCTGCCTGTCACCACTCTCTTGCTTCCAATGCACCAGTCCCCGGAGTCCCTGGAGCAATCCAAAATGGCTGGCCACTGGGGTGCCACTCCACTGCTGCCTCCTCTGGGTCCCTTGCTCTCGGTCTCCTTTCTTCTTTTCCCCCTCCCTCTCTTCCTCATCCTCTGCCTCAGGCAGAGTCCTGAACCACTGATGGGCCCCTAGTGGTGGCACTAGGAGCTCAAGAATTCAGAGAAGGCTGGAGCCCCATGTTCTAGGCTAACCTGCCGCTGTACGGGTTGACTTGCATGAGTGTTTTCCTCCTGTGCCATATGGCCAGCGGCCCCATCTGACCAGCATGATGCAAGCCAGGGCTGCCCCAGGCACTGACCTCCACCCTTGCTTACTGCCAGGCAGTCTCCTTATCTGGAGAGGAGGGGGCCTGGGCCATTTGTTCCGGGGCACAGACAGATCAGTGGTTCCTCAGCCCCCTCAGAAACAGGCAGAGGCAGCATGAGAATCATCAGGAGACAGGCGGTCAGGGCCCCACTGAACGCACCAAATAGCCAACTAGCACCAAACAGCCAACTGAGGGCGGGAGAGAGAGAATTTCGAGCCTGATGTGCAACCAATCAGCCGTGAGGTATGCCACCACCCTTCCTTGACTAACAGTCATAAAGTATTGACATTTGCAACTGATTTGCTGAAGTGGGTCCAAGATCACCCCATGACCATCAGCCCCACCCACATGTGTTCCAATGTGCTTTCTCGAGTGAGAGAAAGAGCTGGGAAGTGCATGGAACCCCAGGAAGAAGGACAGGCAGCGCATGATCCTATCTACAAGTGTTATCGTTAGGGTATGTCACCGTGGAACAAGTTGGAACCACTATCTGAGATAGTCAAGAGCTCTGAGAAGGGGCAGATAGGAGAGGAAGAGAGCCAGGGCCAGCTGACCCCTACATCCCCCAGTCGACCCTCAATGACACTTTCACTTCCCTAGAGGCATCTACGCCATCCAGCCCTGCTCTTCTCCATCTCACAAGTTTTGGAAGCCATCTGCTCAGTTCTGGGGAAGATCAAGTTCTCCTGGGGCCACCTGACAGCTGACGTCACGACTGACTGTCGGCACCTCCTGAGTAAGGGCATGGTCATCACACACACAGAAGCCCCAAGCCTTGTCTTGATCCCTCCCGAGCTCCCTGCGCTCACTCCCCACGCTGGCAGGTGGCAGGCCTGACCTGACAGACCCGAGGCCCTGATGGGATGGTGTCACTGATCTACAAGGGAGGGATGTCTTCAACTATTGTCCTGAGGAGGAAGAGACAAATTTTTCCCCAAGCTCAGATCCCTACCGACTCTCCGCACTGGGAAATTGGCCTCTTCTTGGACAGCACATGGAGGCTGCAGTCCTCATGGCTTTGGCTAACCAGAGTCACAATGAGAAACCACAATAGAAAAAAAGGAGGGAAAGAAAGGGAGACCTCAGGGCTGCCAGTCTCATCATCAGGTTCACATGTAGGGACATCAAGGTGCAGAGGAGGAGCACAGGGTGGGAACAGAACCAAAATAAGACCTTGTAATCTGCCTGCAAGCAGCCCACCAACCAACCGCAGAGCTGAGGCAGCGAGCCAAGCAGATCGCAAGCCTCATGGAAGAAGTGAAAGGAGTGGTCTGTGCCCCGGGCTCATGCGGCAGAGAGGGTACCAGGCTCCAGCTTGGCTTGCCTTGGTGCGGCATGGCGTGGCTGGCCCCCCTCCACCAAGCCCAGCTGGTTGCAACCAGCTGACTGATGGGGGGAGGGGGACATACCCACCTCAACCCTGGTTTGGATTTTATTGGAGGAGATACTCGAACTCTGGGACTCCAACCCAGCAGAGCCAGGACAGATGGCAACAGCAGTGCCCAGACGTGATGCCCCAAAACATCACACAGGAAGTCCCAAGGTACACGCATGGAGTATTCCAAAAGTTTGTTTGGAAGTTGGATTTTGAACCGTAGAGACTGTCTTCTAACAGAAACAATATCTGAGGGGAAGACTGGGGTGACTGTTCAGGTAGACCATTTATGTCACTCGTTCCACTGGATGCTAGATTCAGCAGTGTTTGCAGGAAAGGTTTCCTCACTCTGAGGTGCCAAGGAGAAGAGCCATCCGGGGCAGGGGGCAGGCCAGCATGTCAGGAGCATTGAACCCCATCATTCCACACTCACGGCGCATGCTCTGTGCCCAGTGGTGTGCTGCGCCCTGGGGGGTGCGGCTGCCCTGGACGCTCCTGGTCTAAACTTCCCAAGGGGGCCGGCCCGGTGGCTTAGCGGTTAGGTGCACGCGCTCCGCTGCTGGCGGCCCGGGTTCGGATCCCAGGCGCGCACCGACGCACCACTTCTCCGGCCATGCTGAGGCCGTGTCCCACATACAGCAACTAGAAGGATGTGCAGCTATGACATACAACTATCTACTGGGGCTTTGGGGGAAAAAATAAAATACATAAATAAATAAAATTAAAAAAAAAAAACTTCCCCAGGACAGCAGGGATGAGAAATCCTGTGCTCTGCCCCCAGACAATTGTATGGAAAATCAGGGAGCCTCGTGGTTAACTTGGCAACCTCTGATCTGAAGAAAACTGCCCCTTGGGGCTGCTGCCTGTCCCCCTGCCTGGACAGGAAGTGGTCGCCCAGGAAGTCAGCAAGCTGACCAAGCACCGCCCTCTAACTGCCCTCTCCGACAGCACTTGTTTCTCCTTTTTAAAAGCGCAAGTCTCTGTCGCCACAACCCCTCCTTGTTGTGCCCCAAACGGTGATGTCCTCCTCCAAGGGCACCGTCCCTTGGGTGGAGGTGCCTGGCCCCACTCCATCATCGTCTTACCCCACACCTAGTTGAGGTAGGAGCTGGGATGAGAGGACTCAAATCTCACTATGAACAGTGACTCCAGTTTCCATGTGAGAGGAACAAACTTCAAAACCCAGGCAAGAGCAGCCACGGCCTTCCCTCAGTGCCCAGGTCCTCCGAGGGAAGACCAGGGGCTGTGCCAGCCTCGGAGCCCAGGGCAGCTTAGTGTGGAGTGGCAGACAGCAGGAAGTGCCAGCGGCCTCTGGGGCTGGGAAATAGGCGCCCAGCAGCTGGTGGGCAGAGCCCTGACTGCTCAGGCCCATAAGCATGGACTCTTGCGTGTAGATTCTACAGTTCCTTACCTTTCCACACCTACCATCTTTTTGGTGAAATAGGAATCATAAATGACTAAGGGTTGGCCCCGAGAATCTTCCAAGATCTCTTTCAGCAATGAACTCTGACCCTTTTCCTTCCAGAGGGAATTCTAGGGGCAGCAGGACCAGGGGGTAAGGGAAGCAACACAGAATACAGCAGAGACCACCAGCCCAAGGCCTGCAGGCTGAACCCCACTCCCTACAGGGATGTTTGTGCTTTTTAAGAAATCTGAGTTAGTCTTAAGAAATCGAGAGATTTCACATGAAAGCCAGGATTTCGGCTTCCCAGGAGCAGTCAGGAGAGCTACGAATACTAGTCTACTTCCCTGCAGGGCAACCAGTGGCTGCAGCATGAAATCGAGCTCCCTTTCTTTTTGGCCCACTTCATCTGTTCACAACCCCTGCCCAGCCTCAGTAGGATGTGAGTTTGCAACACACTGTAGTGTGGGTTCTATAGTTGAACAACTGAGGTCTAAGTCTCAGCTCTGCCACTTGCTAGCACAACACCTCTTTGAGCTCAGTTCCCTCATCTATCGAATGGGCCTAATAACAGCCTCTAACATCATGGGGATTGTGGAATTTCCAAGCCTCGCTCGAGCCATCTGGAGGAACAGGTAACATAAAGAACATAAAGCAGGCCTGGCGTATCACAAGCACACCACCCGTTCATATCATTAGTGCCTACCTCACCTGGTGACACCAGGTGATGCCAGGTGACAGACGGGGGCTGAGTAGCTGTCCCACCCACAAACCCGACATCCCTGACTAAGCAGGGGTGAGAGAGCATCCAGCACCACCAGCTACAAGCAACTGCAGAGACGGTGCTCTGAAAGGTGTCAGGCGGGCAGCCCGACCCTACCGCACTGCCCCCCAGATCCATCTGTTAATATACCAGGACCGGATCACTGGTCTCTGCCAACAAGGAGATCTTGGTTAACAAGTCGACAGGCTTGTACAGGGCCCCAAACTGATCTCTCTCCCTGGCTTCAAAGCCATTCCCAAGTTCAAAGACTCGCCAAGTGGGAGCAACCAGAGGCCCCAGTCTCAAGGCATGGGGAGCTCAGTGCACAAGGCCAACAGAAGGAAGGGAGCTGCTGGTCCTCCTGGGAGCCCCGTCCAAAGGCCAACCTCCCAGCCCCACAGTGCTGTCTGCTCCCGACAATCCAAGCTCTGAGAACGGAGTCCAGGAATGGGCCGGGGCAGTCCCTGCTGCACGTCTGAGGTCTCTAACTCCTAACTCGCCAGAGGTTTCAGCCTTTGGAGCAGCATGGACACAGGCTACCCTGGACTTATTCCAGAGGCCCTAAGTGTCTGGCATGACAAGCGCCTGCCTGCGCATTGCAGCCAGCACCCGGTTCTGCAATCCCCCCTCCTTCTGCTGACTCAGTTCAGCTCCCCACTCATCAGGCAAAAGGATTCCTCGTTCCCCTTTCCAGGGCAAGGGAGGCGGAGAGCCCCCATAGCAAGGGAACTCAACCTTACACCAGGGGTCTGAACCCAGCATGCACAGATGACCCTCCAGGGAATGTGCAGACCGCCTGAAATTACACACAAAACGTCGTGTGCATGCCCCTATGGCACTACTCTGGGGAGACAGTTCATAGTGTTCATGGTCCTGAGGATCCACAATGGTGAAGCCACTGCCCAGGAGGAGGGCTGACAGTGGCCACCCTGCACCTCTCAACTCACTGCTGGATCCTCTGAAGGCAAGTCTGATCGCTTGAGGCAGCCTCGTCTTCGTCTCAATCCCAGGTGACTGGAATTTCCAGAATGGGCCCTGCTGGGCACTGAATCAGGCAGCACACACACTCCTCTCCAGCAAAGCTGCCACCACTCAGGAGGCACAAAGCGGGCACGCACAGCCTCACTTGGGTAACCAAGGCTATCCTTGAAAAAGGGCGAGCTCCGTGTATGTGTCCACCCGCCGCCTCCAGGCCTTCTATCCCTCTCCCTGGATGCTGCCTCATCTTTACCAGTGGTGGCCCTGACAGCATCCACAAACGCCATGCTGGGCACAGGGGAGACCAAAATACAGTGTCTGTCCCCAGGGAGTGCCAACTAGTATGAGACTGTCATATTGGGGCCAGGGTGAGAGGGCAGGAGGGGCTTTCTGGGCAGAAGAAGGAACAGAGGCAGAGATGAGAAACAGCCTGGCAGACAGAGGGGGCTGGAGCTCAGAGTACAAGTCCCAGCTTGGTGGAAGAGGAGTCGAGGACTCAGGGCCTGCTGCAGAATCTGGACTTACAAGGGCAAGCCACGGAAGGCTGTCGACAGGGAGGGCAGGACCAGGCTTGCATTCACATCACTCAGGCAATGCGTGCAGGAGAGACAGAGGGAGGTGGGGCTCGAGCTGAGGAAGACCAAAGTCACAATGCTCTAAATAAAACTAGGTAAAATCAACAAGAACTGGGAATTGAGTGGCTATGGAGAAAAGGAGGAGTGCAGGATGCCTCCCACATTTGTTTCCTGCGGGAGGGATGGAACATCCATCAGATGAGATAGGGAAGATGGGAGGAGGAGCAGGGAAGAAGGTGCATGGGAGGGTCAGGGTGACAAGGGCAGTAATCGAGGACAGGCAAAGCCACGTGGCTACCCGAGCCGGCCCGAGGGCCCTTCTTTTCCCCTAGCCAAGTCACCTATAAATCTCTCAGGGGCCCAGAAAGTAGCAATTTGGGAAATGATACAGGGCTGCCACTCCAGTTCGCTCTTCCTCTGAAAACAAGTAGCTCTCCCAGCCCAGCCTTGGGGGAAGCTGTAAATCGCATGCAGCCTGCTCTGGGAATTCTCAGAGCACTCAGGAATAGCACGGATTCCCTCCCTCAGCCCACTCTCTCAGGGCTGAAGTCCGCCCCTGAAATCCAAATACAAAACCAACTATGTCCCCCGATAGCCGCCCTCCGGAAGAGGGGCTCGGCCAAGCGTGTTATCACAGGAACCAGGTCCTTCCTGCCACACAAGCACACGGGCTCACTACTGGGGCTGGCGGGCCCAGGACACAATCTCGGGCCCCAAACTCTCGTGGAAATGCCCTTCAGAACTGGCCAGGGCCCCACCCCAGCTGAGGCCAGGAAGAATTTGCACGGGAGGATAACAGAAGCCCCGGAGGCCAGCCCTAACTCAGCTGCCATACCAAGGCCACCCCAAAAGGTCATTCCGCGGAGGAAGCCAAGGCCAGCAACTGTCCTTGGACTTGTGGCTCAGGCTGAGTTTGATTAGTTTGTAAGATTCCATTGGGAGGACACAAAGTGCCAGATCCTAGCCGATGAACTTAGTACACACACAAAAGCCTCCTCCCTCCCAGCCTTTGCACCGGCTGTTCCCTCTGCCTAGACTACCCTCCTGTCCTCTTTACCAGGCTAAATCCTTCCTTATCCTTTGAAACTCATCACAGTTCAGTTTCCTCTTCTGCAACATGAGGATAAAAAGGATCCACCTTCCTTATCTAAAAAAAAGGGAATGTGTGGTTTTTATGCTAGGGGCCTCTTCTGTGAGATTCCCAGATCTTATTATGGAATAGCCATCTATCTATATAAAGGATGAAGGTTTGGGGCTTTTCTTAATGTCAAGATTCCAATTAAAGTAAATGCAAGACAAAGAGTCAGCTTAGGGTACCATTTCCTCCAGGAAGCCCTCCCTGACCACATTCCCTGCACAGGGTTCGAGGCCTCTCTCCTTTGAGTTCCCAAAGCACTGTGCACTTCCCCTATGAAAGCACATATAGAACTGGTAGGAACTGTCTGCCTAAGTGCCTATGTCCCACCAGCCTGTGACAGCTCATGGAAGGCAGGGAGTGTGTCTTTATCCACCTTCACTTCCTTGCATCGAGCAGAGCCCAGCACATAATAGGTGCTCCATGGATGACCACCGAACAAATGAACGAACAACCCTCGCCAAGCCCATGTGCTGCAGGCACCTGCCTCACCACTCCAGTCCGTGCCACCTCCAGGCCCTTCAAAAGTGTTCACTACATGTAAAGCACGATGGGGGCCAGCAACACATGAGCACAGAGCCCAAGCCCTCCCCACTCTCCTATCGCAGGAAATTTCCATGTACTGTGATCTAGTTACCACCAACTCTCCCCAACAGGCACCACGCCTACCCTTAAAAAAAAAAAATTAAAGAACACTCCACAAGCCTTTGTGGCCGCAGCACAGCAGCCCCTTGTGGGTACTTAAGGTTTAAACTCACTGTGTGGCCTGTCTGGCTTCCTCTGTGGGAGGGGGAGGGCAAGCTGGTGAGGTGGGCTGGCTCACAGGAGTGAGGCCGCTGGGAGGCAGTCTGGGTACCCAGGCAGTCAGGACCTGGGACTGGGAGGCACTTTCATTTGGTGCTAGAGGAGGGCGGCAGGTATTACCAAGCTAAGGGCAAGAAGGAACAGGAAGCACAGCAGGCCCAGCGTCCTCGGATCTTGTCACACCTCTCCCCAGGGGGCAGAGCGGGCAGGAGACGTGAGCTGGAATGTGCGGATTTCTGAACCATTTCTGAACCATCACCGCTGGAATGTGTTAGCAACACCAGCCGTGGGGCTCTGTATCCTGGAGCAGCTGATAGCATCACTGATTATCATGACTGAGCTGCAGAGGAGATGAACCCCAGAGCATGCCGAGAAGATTAGCGATGCTGAGGGAAGTTCCACGGGCAGGGAAAGAAAGAGGAAGACAAGTTTTTGGAAGAGAAACTGAAAGGGAGAGGAAGGAAAACTATAATGTTTTGTAAACATTTTTGCTAATTTCTTTAGACTTTAAAAGGCCCTTTTTACAAAGGAACAAAGAGTGCCAGAAATAGTAAATTTGTGGGTAAATATAAAAGACTAACAATATAGGGTGGGTTTTATAATATATGGAGACGTAAAATTTATGACAATAATAACACAAAGGATGGGAGGAAATGGAAATATGGCATTGTAAGGTTCTTATGTTATACATGAAATGGTTTAGTATGGTCTGAGGGTAGACTGTGATAAGTTAAACCTGTAAACTGTAGAAAAACTGCTAAAAAAAGCAAACGAATAAGACTAGCTAAATAAACCAACAGTGGGGGTAAAATGGACTGCTAAAAAAGTACTCAATGATGGGCCGGCCCCGTGGCTTAGCAGTTAAGTGCGCGCGCTCCGCTGCTGGTAGCCCGGGTTCAGATCCCGGGTGCGCACCGACGCACCACTTCTCCTGCCATGCTGAGGCCACATCCCACATACAGCAACTGGAAGGATGTGCAACTATGATGTACAACTATCTGCTGGGGCTTTGGGGGCAAAATAAATAAATAAATAAAATTATAAAAAAAAAAGGAAACCAGAGGAAGATACAAGCAAATAATCTAAGAGTTGAAGAGCAGGAGGACAGAGGGCCCATGGAACGCTGGTCTGAGGAAGAGGAGGGACCCCAGGCCTTCGCTCACTGAAGCAGAGGGGGTTGAGGGTGGCGGCCACAGAGCAGGAAGGGCTCCCTTCCTTTTGCTGGGCCCACAGACCTCCCCTGGAGGGGAGGGAGGCACGTCAGCTCACACCACACTTCGCAGTGGTTTTCAGTCCCTGATAAATCTGGGTGGGATCAGTGTTCAACACCCCCCTCATACAGCTGGTTGATCATTTTCTCAATTACTACACTCCCAAGCACACCCTGATCCACATACATGAAATACACACACAAACACACACCCGCTCATCCCCTCTCCTCCTCCCTCTCCAGTGGCACTCAGTGGCATCACTGAGTGGGAACCAGTGTAATCAAAGGGGCTGCATGGGACACAGTGGACTACAGAAGTCTCCGGATTCCAATCCTGGTGTGGGCACTTACCAGCAATTCACCACAGGCAAGCCACTTACCCTCTCTGTGCCTCAGTGTCCACATCTATAAAAATACCTATTTCGTAGGGTTGTTGCCAGGAAAAAATATGCTAACGCAAGTAAGGCACTTAAAACAGTGCCTAGCACAGAGCAAACATTATATTAACGCCGGTAATTATTATTCCAATTACGTAAATATATATGCACTGAAAAGCTGTTATAGAATTGCATTAAAATATGAATTGTGGTTATCTCTGGATGATTATCTCCATAAGTTTTCATCATTTCCTTCTTTGTGCATCTCTGTAGTTTTCAAATTTTCTACAATGAACATGTACAACATTGATAATCAGTAAAAAAACAGTTAAATATTAAAAAGAACATAAATATAATTAGTTCTTTTAACAGACATTTACAACAACATAGAAAAAAAAACTTTAAAAACAACAAAGAGGGCCGGCCCGGTGGCGTAGCACACACTCCACTGCAGCGGCCCGGGGTTCGGATCCCGGGCACGCACCGGCGCACCGTTTGTCAGGCCATGCTGTGGCGGCGTCCCATATAAAGTGGAGGAAGATGGCCACGGATGTTAGCCCAGGGCCAGTCTTCCTCAGCAAAAAGAGGAGGATTGGCAGATGTTAGCTCAGGGCTGATCTTACTCACAAAAATAAATAAATAAATAAATAAATAAATAAATAAAAATAAAAACAACAAAGAGATGTAAACCCAAAAGAACTAAAAACAAGTATTCAAATAAATACTTGAACACAAATGTTCATAGCAGCTCTATTCACAGTAGCCAAAAGGTGGAAACAACCCAAACGTCCATCAACAAATGAATAGATAAAGAAAATGTGGTCTATCCATACAATGGAATATTATTCAGCCTTAAAAAAGAATGAGGTACTGACACATGCTACAACATGGATGAACCTCCAAAACATTATCCTTGGTGAAAGAAGCCAGACATGAAAGGCCACATATGGTATGATTTCATTTATATAAAATGTCCAGAATAGGCAAATCTGTAGAGACAGAAAGCAGATTACTGGTTGCCAGGGCCTGAGGGAAGGGGTAAGGGGAAGAGACCGCTTAATGGGTACGGGAACTCCTTTGGGGGTTATGAAAATGTTCTGGAACTAGATAGAGGTGATGTTTGTACAACTTGTGAATGTACTAAATACCACTGAATTGTACACTTAAAATGGTTAATTTTATATTATGTGAATTTCATCTTAGTTAAAAAGAAACAATGGAGGGTATGTATATCATATGCATGCTTATATATTTATAAATATATAGAAAATGGCTGAGAACGATACATATCAAACTATTAACAAGTTACCCCTGGTAGGGGAAGGAAGAAATGACTTCCACTTCCTTATTTTTTTTCTTTTTACAGTAAGCATGTATCTTCTTTAATATAAAAACTTTTACAAAAGTAAATAACAATATTGGATACAAAATGACATGAAAAAGATCCCTAGAAAAAAACAAGGGCTTGAGGCTACACTGTGGCAGGTGTGTAGTTCTAGAAACGAAGAAAACTAGGACCCCAGATATTCTCAAAAAAGGGCTAGAAAGAGGAAAAAGCACAGCCTGCTCTGCTACTAAGTGTCCAGGCAAGTGCTTTCTCCTCAGCAGGCTTCAGTGTGTCCATCTGTAAAATGGGTGAGTTGAACCTCATAAGTGATTTTCAAATGCTTTACATTTTTATTTTCAAATTTTTTATAAACCACAAAACCTCTTCTGCAATTACACTCTTCGATGGAAGCCCAATACCTAAATGGATAAAAAGCAGGCAGCTCTGACTGAAGAAGGTGATGGGCAGAGACCCCAACCACAGGAGCAGGTGACATCCTAATGCTCCTTCCAGCTCTGGAAGCATGGGGGTCTAAGACTGAACTGGTCCAGAACCCCAGAGAAGGGAGTGCTGACTGACCACACCCAACAGAACATTCGGAGGAAAAATCTCACAGGCACCAGAAGCTGGGAGAAGAGAAAGGGCGGAGCTGGGATGAAGCCCAAGTCAGCGACGCCAAAAGGAGCTGCTACCAGCCAACGCTACCAACAGCCGGTGACCAGCAAACCAAGGTACCCCTGGGGCAGACAGACTGTGACACCCCTGGCCCCCATGCCTCTGTCCAAGGTCAGACAGATAACAGCTGTCTCCAGGTCAGTTCCTGCTGCTCTAGGGGCACAAACAGGATGTTTGGAAGCAGATGACCACAAGGGACAACAGGAAGCCATGACAACCACCTCCAGGTGACACTCCTCTTCTTCCCCAGCTTGTTTCTGGCGTGGCTGGCTCCAGCAGACCAGGCAAAAAGACTTCGAGTGCCGACTTCCGAAGAGAGAGAAGGGGCCGGAATTCTTGGACAGTCCAGGACACAGCCGAAGAGGCCATCTGAGGTGGTGAGGCAGGGAAGAAACAAGGCCACCCAGCTACCCCAATAGCTACCTCACCCCGAAGACGCAGCTAGGCTGACACCACTAAAGAGGGGGTAGGAAACTGCACATCCACTCACGGGGACAGAGGACTTGCCAAGACAGGCAGCACGCGACCCACAAACTCAGGAGGACAGCCAGGGCGGGTCTCCAAGGCATGAATGGAGTGTTCCAGGCACCGCAGCCGCTCCTGCACGCCCACCGTGGAGGAGCCAGCTGACTCGGCTGTCCTGGAGCTCACCAGCAATGAGAAACCACCACTGCTGGCCAGCCAAGCCAGGAGCCCACAGAGGAAACAGCAAATTCGGAGAAAACCAAGTGCAGGCCATGGGACAGTCCCATTTCCACCTAGGGAAGAGGAATGTTCCTGGAAACAGTGAGAAAAAGCCTGGCCAGGACTCTGAGCCACTTCAAACCCCCAGTGAGGCCCATGGCTGACCCAACAGGTCAACTGCCCTTAAAAGGTTACAGAGGCAGGCAGAGCAGCCCCATCACTGGGCCAGCTTCTAGCTAATGGCAACGCCCACTCAACTGAAAAAAACCACAGGTCACAATACAGAAAACCACTCTCCCTTTTCGACTGCTACTAGGAGCCTCACTGGCCAGGCCCATCCTGTGAGGCTTCGTAGATGTCACGGAGTATGCTTCACGGCCTGCCTTGACCAGAGGAAGGCCTGAGGGTTCTGGGAGAAGCCCAATGCCTAACTAGAAGCGGATCTGAGAGTGGCTCTCTGCAGCAGCTCTCAAATGTTGATGTTAGATGAGCGATTAGTATAAACCAAGCCACTGAGCAACCTCTCCCCCAGCCACTTCCTCCTCAAAGCCACCAAAGAGGGTCAGGGGAAATTAAACATCACATAACCAAAATCCAACCTAACCCCACCAGCACTATGGTATGACCATTTCACCTGCAGAGCAGAGCCCCACACACTCTCTACCCCACAGGGCCATGAAGAGGCACAAATCACATTCTCCTGGGAGATGTCTGAAGTCAGATCCCTCTCCCAGGCCCAGCTGACTGGTCAACCAGGCTCATGTGCTCTAAATGCCCACCACCAAGGCCACAGCAAACACAGGCTGCAGATACATGAAGTAGAGAGGGTGGCAGAGAAAGCCAAACCCCCAGAGTAATGTCTAGATTATTCCAAGGATGAATAATAATGATAATCGTTACCATTTATTGAGCACTTTAAAGTATTTTAGGAAATGCGTCTGTTTCATAGATGAGGGGACTGATGCTCAGGGTGTAAACTGGCCTGCTGAGGTCACACAGTAAGTGACAACACCGATACAGACCCAGGAGTGGCTGATGGCGGAGCCCGTGTTCTATCTGTGACACCATGCTGCCTCCCCACCTGGAAACCAGAAAGTTCTTCACTCAGATTCTCCGGCAGAGGAAGTGGTTTGCTGGAGGTTCGGCATCATAGTGCGTGTCCACAGTTCATACCCATTTAATCATCAACCACCATCAAATATTTATTAAGAAACCACAGAGAGAACGGAGCTGTACATGGCAGTTAGAGACACTTGAAAGGCAGATAAGATCCCTGTCTTCAAGGGGCTTACAGGGCAGAGGGGGAGACAAAAGGAAAGAAGCCCAATTCACATAGATCTGTGAAGTTATACTGAAGTGGGAGGGCCAAGAGGTTGGCTGGTTTTAACTGGAAAAAAGCCTTCTCAAGAAGGTGGCTGCAGCTGAGATCTTAAAGGTGGAGGGTGAGGCGGGGAGACAGGTGAGGAGGCAATCTCCTGCAACATGAACAAAGATCCAGACTCCACACATAGCTAAGCACTTCTAGTGGTCAAAAGTCAAATCTAACTTAGAGACTGCAGTTCAAGAAACCCTCTAAACCTGGCACCTGTGTGTTTGCTGTAAATATAGGGCAGAGAGATGGCATTCTTAGAATCTCCCACAGTGGGGCCAGGTAGAAATACACACAAGGGAGCAAGGCCCACTTCAGGCAACAGAGGGGGCCACTGCGAGGGCTGGAGCTGTTGAGGTCAGCCAAGCGGTGCCATGGAGGATGGGCGTCCAGTGTGGCCAACTCTGATTTTTCAAAAGAAATGACATATGGATTTCTAGGTACAATCTCCTGATGCTTTAAATGTTGGCAACAACTTTGGAATATTTGTAAATACTATGAAGGCCAAGCAACACAGGTCTGCAAGCCAAACCCAACCTGTGATTTCTCATCTCCGCCTTAAGATTTCCAGTACGAAGTACCAAAAAGAGAATAGGTTGGGCGCCAGAAGACCTAGGTCAAGCTCTTGCATCATTATCTGTGGTGACACTGGGTGTGTCCCCTTCCTCTAAGTCCCCTGAGCTTTAGTTTAGCTTCCTCATCTGTCAAACAGGGAAAACCACCACCCACCCCAAAGGGTTGTTTTCTGGATCACATAAAAAATGATGAAGCACATGAAAACGTTTCCTAAATCTGAAAGTGCTGCACAAATGCTCATGATTCCACAAAGGCCAAGAGAAGAGAGGGGACAATAACAGAGAGAGCAGACAATAGAGGAGGCCACGAAGAGAGAGTGAGAAGGAAATGAGTTGGGTCTTTGCTGGCGTGCAGACCGGAAGAATCTGGACAATAGAATCCACGTCAAGGGTAGAAATACAAATTTAGGAGCTGCCAAAACACAAGTGATAAAAGAGGTCACACAAGTAGATAAACTGACCTAGGTATCTCGGAGTAAAAAAGGTGGCCCAGCAAAAGCCTTTGGAATAACGCAGAAGCGCACCCCCAGAGAGGGATCAGGGAAGGAAGCAGGGAAGGCAGCTGGGGGGTTCTGAGGAGAAGGGGAGGTTCTGTGGAGAAGGGGGGTTTTGAGGAGAAGAGGGTTCTGTGGAGAAGGGGGGTCTGAGGAGAAGGAGGTTCTGAAGAGAAGGGGGTTCTGAGGAGAAGGGGAGGTCCTGTGGAGAAGGGGGGTTCTGTGGAGAAGGGGGGTTCTGTGGAGAAGGGGGGTTTTGAGGAGAAGAGGGTTCTGTGGAGAGGGGGAGTTTTGAGGAGAAGGGGTTTCTGTGGAGAAGGGGGTTCTGTGGAGAAGGGGGGTTCTGAAGAGAAGGGGGTTCTGAAGAGAAGGGGGGTTCTGAAGGGAAGGGGGTTCTAAGGAGAAAGGGAGGTTCTGAGAAGTGGGTCTTAAGGAAGAGAGGGGGAAATATAGCAGCTAAAGAGTGACAGGCTTTCTTAGCAAAAGAGAACAGGTGGAAGAATGGCCCAGGCTGTGTTAAAAAAAGGAGCAGAGTAAGGAAGTTAGGAAGGGCAGAAGGTAAAAAGAGGGAACCAGAAGAAAAAGGGGGTGAGGTAAACTGCAGATGGAGAACATTTGGTCACATTAGGCCAGGCTGTCTACACCAATGGGAGATACTGGGGGGTGGGGGCGGCATGGGGAGTTATAAAAGGTGCTGAGGTGGAAAAAGAGATGTGTGAGGTAGAATTAAGAGTGGATAAACAGAGACGGTCGTGGAGGGTCTGTCTGCTGTGTGCTAGGCACGACCACATCCCTCATCTCACTCGGCCACCCAGCTAAGTGAGGGGCGGGCATGCAGGCCCACTTTACAGCCTGCTCTCAATAGGGTTTTTCTGTTGTTGCAAGAGGCCCAGTCTCCACGGCTCATTCAAAAAGATTCAGACTGGTGTCCAGAGGAGAATCAAGCCCCTGAGGATCCCTGAGCTAAACCAGAAAGGAGCTCCTGGGAGGCTTCCCCCCACCTTGCTGTGCTTACCCAGGGTTCTACTATTCCACACAGCTGGAAATGTGTGCCCCGCTCTCCCCAACAAGAAAACAGAACAGAACATGGCTGTTTCTGCCAAGTGAGTTCTGAATAAGCCGCATTCCATTTCATTAAAACAATTACCTGAGCCCCAGCCAAGAATTACATAAAGCTTCCTCCCAGCACCACCCCCTCCCCCTCCCCCACTAAAACACACATCATGCTGCTTTTCAAACAGGCAGAGCAGGGCCGAGACACATCACTCTGAGACCACACTAGGAAGATCCCATGATCCCTACCAAGTGGGCAGCCTCTGCGTCCTTGCAGGCTGACAGACAGCTGCGAGGCTCAAAGGAGACCCTCGCATGAAGCGCTCCCCTTATGAGGGTTGCTGGCTGCCCAAAATGTTTCTAGTAGGCAACAGGGCCCTCAAAGCCAAGGGGTGCCAGAATCCAGCTATTTCTCCCAAAAGGATGGGAGGCTCAAGTGGCGGCTTTGAGTCAGCACAAACCAGAGGGACCTGGGAGTGAGGATTCCAGAAGAGGGAGCCTCAAGTCTGGAGAACTGGATGGCCAGATCTGAGCTGCAAGCAAGAGCCTGGGGCCACTCCTGCCCACGCTGCCCACAGGCTAATGGTGTTCCCTTGGCCACAGATAAGAGGTTCATGATGTGAAGAGAATGGCATTTCATCCCCTCCCCCAGGCTCCAGCTGCCCAGAGGCTGGTCTCTGCCTTTTGCGAAGACTTGCTCTGCATCCTACCAGCCAGACCACCCCTTTCAAACTCCAACCAGAGCTCAGCATCTTCCTTGCCCTGACCCTGGTCAGATTAATGTCACCACACCCAAAATAACCCCGGAGGCTGCCTCCACATTATGGAAGCTCACTGCCTCTGGCCGAACCTGTCCCTTCTTCTGCACAGGTCATGGCAGCTGTGCACCCCCATGCCCAGCTGACAATCACCAGTCACTATCATCCCAGGCCTGCTTGGCTCCTGTCTCTGCCCACCCAGTCTTTCTACCACCTGGCCGAGAATCACAGGAGGCCAAGTCACTCAGGTCAACCACAGACAGATGCTTACAAGCACCCCTGGCCAAGTGACTCCAAGCCCACTATGGAAAAGCAATGTTTTCTTACTTTTTTCCAACTTTTTATCACGAAAATGTCTAAAAATACTGAGAAGTTGAAAGACCATTACAATGAACACCCGAATACCCTCCACCTAGATTCAATCACTGTTACCATCTTGCCATTTTGTATAAAAATGTGCACGCACATGCTCTCACTCTTTCTCTATATATATCTTTTTTTAAAACTAAGTTGCAGACTTCATGACATTTTACTCCCAAATACTTTAACATGTACCTAACAATAACAACATTCTCCCATAAAACCACAATACCACAATCACACAAGAAATAAGCATTAAAAGGCCATCTTTAAGGGAAAACTTGGCCACCAGGGCTCGGCTGGGCCTGGCCAACAACACGTTCTGCCTGCCACTGGCCCAGCGTCCAAGGCCTCCCTGGAGAGGTCAGCCCTGGGCCCCACTGGTTAGGCAATCAATTCATTAGCTGGAAGACTTATCAGGATGTGAAAGCCGGCTCAAGGCCAGAAGCGAGACTCCCAAAAGACCCTAACAGAAAAGGCGAAGTAGACCTGGGAGGCCGTGGAGGTTCCAGGCGTATCCCAGGTGAGGAGATGATCCTAGGACGCCCCTTTTAATCAGTTGCTTTGTCAAGATTTCTAGGGAAACTCAGCTTCCTAATTCTTTCTCTCCCTCTCTCCCTCTCACAGGACATCCTCAATTCTCTACCTCAAAAGTTTTCAATGACCTCCTCCTCTGGAAATGGGATGGCTCCCAATGGCAGCCATGTATAAACACTTGAACAAAGAGAGGAGAGTGTCCATATGGGGTGGGGGGCACAGACGCTTCTGATTCCAACCAGAAGGAGTAGAAGAAGAACCTTGCAGGACTTGCCCCAGGTTCCCCCCAGCAGCTGTGCTGTAAGCTCGCAGCTCTGTCTCAAGGGTAACAGGTGACCAGAGAGGTGACAGATGACAGAGGAGTGGGGCCATTGAGCAGGAGACATGCCATAAGTGCCCCGTGTCCCATCCTGAGTCCCCAGTAAAGAACAAAGGAGAGGGAAGAAGCCAAAAAGGACAGATGTGGAAGACTGAACAGAGAATAGGGGGTGTCGGAAGGGGACGGAAAAGATTTTTAGCATCATAGAAATGGAAAGCAATCAAATCAACAGGCAACCAAGATCTGATCCAGTATCATGAACTGAGGTGTAAAGAATGGTGACAAGCCAGACTCTGCATTTAAATTCCAGACCTGGATTTAAATCCCAGCCCAGCCACTCACTAATTATAGAACTTGGGCAAGTGGGCTCAACCTAACTGTGCCTCAGTTTCGTCATCTATAAAATGGGTAGTAGTAGTAATAAGAATAGAATCTGCGCCTCATATGGCGCACAGGATTCAGTGAAATAATGTGTGTAAGGTGCCCAGCACAGTGCCAGCACAGAGTAAGTGCTCAATTAACATTATGGGAAAGAGTTCTGTAAACAATGTAAAAAAGAAAAGTGTTCTACAGATGTTTGGTATTATTAGTGAAGGCACTGAGACTAGGACAATGCAGGGAAGGGCTAGAATGAGAGTGAAGCTGGGAGGAAGCTTTTTCAACAGCTCTAGCCTTGGAACAAGGTAAAGGCCCAAGGGAAGCTTTGAGGGTCAGCACCCTCCATGCACTATGAGCAAACGGGGAAAGAGGGGTGCTCAGCGCCTCAGCGGTAACTCTGGCCTTCCACTGGCCCTTCCAGCTGAGGGCCCACACAGTTTTGCCAATGCATGGCCATGACCGGGGGAGCTGGAAGAAAAGAATACTGATATGTTCCCTCGGAGGACCTCAAATCCACAGTGACGAGGCTATGGCCCCCAGCAGCCCGAACCTCTCCACGTTAAGCCGTGGCTGCCGAGGCAGCAGCTTAGCACAGCAGAAAGGGCATCTGCTTAAGAATCAAACACACCAGGGTTTGAATCCCAGCTCTGCCCCTCACGAGCGTATAGCCCAGGAGAAGATCCGGTGCAGACACACAGTCTACTAGGTACGCACCATCACTCTACAGGCTGCCTCTGCCACAGGCCCAGCAGCTGGGTGCCCTGACCCTGGCCTAACACACACAGGCACCTCAGATGGGCAAGCCCAAAGTCCAGACTTTCCATGGAAACAGGGAGGCTCCATAGCCCGGAATGCCCCAGGCAACTCCCCTGCCCCCTAGCACTACCCCTGTGGACAATGAGGCACTGTTTCCCAGAGGGTCAAGACTGCTGAGAAGCTGAAAGAAGACACGTCCAGATTCCAGCAGCAACTGGGCATTGCCAACAGCTGGCTGTTCCCCCAGCGAGAGATGGTGAAGGCAAACTATCAATGCCTGAACTGGACCCACCCTTTGCCATAGAGGCCATTTCCTGGAGATGGCCCCCAGGGCAGAAATTTTAAAGGTAACTAGCAACTACTCAGCAGGCCCCATGGCTCATCCCCCTGGTTAGTCACCAAGCACTTACTACCTTATTACGATTAAGATGACTAGATCTGGATTGGATCAGCTTGGGTTCCAATCCCAGCTGCCCTGGTGAACTTTCCACAGCTCAGGTTTCTGCATCTGTAAAGCAGAGATAAAACACCTCCCTCTTGGAATGGCTGTGATGATATGCATAAAGGCTGAGTATGGTGCCTCTCCCATCTAGCATGTATGATCATTATGGGACCGCAGCTGTGGTCACAGGCCCCCCCAAGCGCACTAGGAACGTGGACGAGGGCAGAGCAAGGAGTTGGGTCAGAAAACGTAATCAGAGGCATCTCAGTGTTGTGGGAACCCTGTCCAGGAAACTCCAGCCAGAACTCCAACAGGATGAACTCCCGGCCAAACCAGCGTCTAAACAGTAATGAGAAAAGCCACCAGCAGCCACCCCGCAGCACAAAGCGAAGAGAACACACGGGGAAGGGCTGTGTTTATGTTTTTCTGTCCAAAGTGCTATAAATTTGTAACTTATTAAACAGCACATGGTGAGTCCGTCACTAGCAGGTAAGGGGAGGAGAGAATTCCCCAATTTTTTTTTAGAACAAAAACCAAAGTCACGGGGGAGACTCTGCCCCCTCTGGCCTTGCCACAGGACAGACTGTTAACTCTCCCGTTTCAGGGACCGGGAGGCTCACAGCTGAGCGCACTCTCAGGAGAAAAATAAAAACAAGAGGCCTGGCCTTGGTGTCCACCCTAACCAAGAAAAACAGCTGACGGGCAGGGTGCTGAGCAGCCATCCAGACAGCTGATGGGGCCTGAGCGCAGAGGCAAATTCCTCTCCCCTCCTGCACGCCCCATTCCTCCCACCCCCAGGCTCTGATCAGCCAGGCGTGGCTGGCCCCCTGGGAGCTTAGGCCAAGGAAGTCAGGCAGCCCGGATTCAAACAACTGGGGAGAGTGGTGGAAGGCAGAGCCTGGGGGCGAAGGCAGCAGAAGTTACAGGTGGCAGCCATCACCCTGCTGCGACCCCTCCTCAGGAAGAAAGCCCTCTGGGTACACAAGAGTTGCAGAGCTAGAAGCTAGAGATTGAGCTTCTAGTCATGGTTTTGTCATTTCATGGCTGTGCAGCCTTGGGCAAGTGTATCAACCTCTCTTAATCTCAGTTTTCTCAATTTGTAAAAGGCAATAGTAATGACAGCAGTGGCCCTAAAGGGCTCTTATAAAGGGTTGCGATGAGGATACGACAAGTTGAGGTACGGGGAAGTACGGCATAAAGAGCAAATTTCAATTCCTATAATCCCCTCTGCCAGTACACTCTCTTTCCTTTCAGAGACTAACTCAATTTCCTGGCCCTAAATGGAAGACTGTCAGAGGACAGGAATTCCGGACTTTGACTGCAAACTCTACGAAGACTTTCTCAGGCCTTCAAACAGCACCGGGGCTGTGTAGAAGCAACAGAACCGCATCAGTATTTCAGTAACTGTGCTCCCCACTTCTCACTGGGAAAGCATGGAGACTTTCAGGCCCTGATTAAAAAAAATATCCCCCAGCCATCTTTCAGCTTAGTTATTGTTATGTGAAAAAAATACCTGCCTGGAAGCCATGCCAATCTTAAATGTATTGGAAAAACGGGTGCCAAGCCTGACCCAGAGGCAGAACTATGCTTGGCAGCCACCACACTCTGCAAAACAGGCAGGATTGTACAGCATCCCCAGCTCCAGGATCTCTCAGGGGCAGCCTGATCCCAAAAGGAAGCTGCCAGGAAGCAGTCAAGTCCCAGTCCTTCTCCCTGTCTCCTTGGAAGTCCAGTGCCTGCAAATAGCCAGTCTTAACTTAGTGCCCTGTGTGCCTGGGGGAGGCCCGTCAGTCCTGTCTGATGAATCCACTACTCAGAGGCTGGGACAGAGAAAGCATCAGTGGTCACACAAGCCACCCACAGTCCAGAGAGGGAAGACAAGGCTCCTACAGAGAAGAAACTGTGCCCCCCTCCTCACCTCCCCAGCTCAGAGGCCCTCCAGCTATAGGCGTGAAGGGGAGGGAGAGAGTGAATCCTCCCATTCCAGGGTTCACGCCACTCAAGGCATTCCTAGAACCCGGGCCCAAACCGCCTTGGGTTTAGCGTCTGGTTCCAGGAGATACTTTCTCCTGCCCTAACACCAGATCAAGTCCAGACTGAAAAGAGCAGTTTTGGAGCTCCAATAACATGAAAACAGTAAAACTCTGTTCCGGGCATCCTGTCCTCGGTACCTGTGTGGCTTCCAGCAGGATCTGATACTAGGGGGCTGGGGGACTCTGCCAGCCAGGACAAGTTCAGAGATGGCTGTACCTCAGGGCCCACTTCCCTCCTCATTCCCCTGGCATTTCACCAGAGCCGGGGAGCGGGGGAAGAATCCTATGTCCCAGCTTACTCTCCCAGGATTAGGCTGGTCTGCGACATGAAAGGGGATGGGCTGGTCCATAGAGTGCAGAGGGCAGGCTATGAAACAGAGTGACCAGTCCGTGAAACAGGGTGACCGGACCTGAAGTGGGGGGTTGGTGGGGCAGATGGCAAACTTGTCTTTGTGGGGGTGTGGTCATCGGAGGCTCATCTCTAAGTTGTGAATCTGACTTGTGAAATGAAAGAGGTGGGCTCGGAGTGGCTATCCCTGAAGTGGGGGTACCCGTCTGCGAAGTGGGGGCGGTCCTCGAGGGAATAGGAGCAGGTCCTGGAAATGAGGGACCAGCCCATGAGTTTAGGCAGCTGCTCCCCGAGTTGGGCGGTCGACCTGTGAGGTGGGGGTGGGGAAGCGTCTGTGAATTCAGGGTCCCATAGCTGGGAGGTGATCTGGTCCAGGCAGTGGGGGTCCCATCTCTGAGACGGACAGAGCAGGTCCCTGAGGTGCAAGCTGGTCTGGGAGATGGAGGTGGGTCCCCGAGTCCGGGGTCCAGAGGTGGGGCCGTCCCCGAGGCGGGGGGTGGGGGCTGTGAGGACGGCGGCGGGGTCGGCCTGGCCCGGGACTCAGGCCCAGCCCGGGACCTGGCCCCGCGGAGCCCCGG